GTTTGTTTTTGAACTGTCCATATTCTATATCTTTTCCAGGATGACTCTTGAACAATTGGCCGAGCAATTTCAAGTGTGCAGCATGTTTCCATGCTGTCGACTTCAGTTTTGTTGAGGAAGGCCCAGAAACAGCAAAGTTGGCATGCGCCGCCACTCAGGACTTCAAGAATCATGAAATAACAAACGAAATGGTGTGAACTAAAACCAATTACCAATATATCATTACCTGAGAAAGTTAGATTTCTCACAACTGAAATCAGGTGATTCCGGATGACTTCCCCTACCAACTCATGATTTAGGGAAGGAAATCAACTGCCAACGACCAATGAGCCTGGACCAATCATTCTATGCAGTCCCCAAATCTCAGCTTCCCACAAACAGCGCGCGATCGAGCGAGATCATTTGCGCAAACTGAGATCCACCATGAACAGTCAACACCTCCTGAGATTTTTTTCAACTGGGGGGTGCTATACTGCATAGTAGCTACCCACAAAAAAAATCCAGAGATGCAAACGGGGCCAAACATGGTTGGCGCAGCATGACCGATGTGCTGTATGTTCAGGAGCCTATAAGGTGACAACATCGGCCTAATTTCTGCTGCCTCTCAAGTTGTCCACATCTGGCTTCCAACCAATCGACCCTGTCAGTTCTGGCGCTTGCAAGACTTTTTCCTCTTGGGATGAAGTTTTTATTTCATGATCTTCTGTGGTATTTTCATGATATATATTCTGTGGTCTATGTTTGTTGGGGGCATGGTAACTTGGGGTTTTCCCGACCTCTTGGGCCATGTCTTACTTGGTCCTTTCAAAGCTTGAAAGACATGCTGCGGGGCGGCGGAAGGATCCCATGATGGACGTTCACCTTTTCGGGGGCGCGAGCGGAATGAATCCAGATCCACATTCTTCCATGACTGGTTGGTGGTTGAGCCACCCTTCTGAAAAATATGAGTTCGTCAGTTGGGATGATGACATTCCCAACTGAATGGAAAAATTAAAAATGTTCCAAACCACCAACCAAATGAGGTACCACCTATTTGTTGAGAGTGTCACCCAACATGGAAAAAAACATGGGACATATGATGTGCAATGATTTTTCAAAATTGCTGACAAACATAGAGGTTAAATGGGATTAACACAAATGGAAAAACATGCGGATTTACCTGAAGTTGATTCTGAATTTCATCCGTGGCACATGTTTTGTTTTGCACAAAACTATTCCGAAATAAAATCAAAACCATTCAGAGATCAGGGCCACGCGTCGCATTGTGTGTCCCAATTTTCCGAAATATGATCTGAGATTCATAGATTCATATTCATACCTGCAACTTGACAAAAGACAATTTCAATCAACTTCACCTGGAATCTCATGTTAGTTCCGAGCTTTATCGATGTATATTCATCATATATATATTCTATCTGGTTATTTAACATA